TTTAAGCAACTTAATATAGAAAGGCTGAATAGGAAACAATTCTCAGAGAATTCTGTTCAAGGGATAATGCCCAGGGAACAATGAAGAGGATGAGATGAAGAAGGTGCAACTGTGCCTGCGTGCCTTGGGGTGTGTTTTACTCATAATCTGTGTGTTTTCCACAGTCCCTGCTTCCCGAGGTTGTGGTATTGGTAGGGGTAACAGGCCAATCGGTGTGGCTTCAGCTTCTGAGGATCTGCCGGGTGCTGAGGTCTCTCAAACTCCTTGCACAATTCCGTCAAATTCGAGTTATTATTTTGGTCCTGGTCAGGGCCCTCAAGGTGATTTGACTGTTGCAAGCTAAAGCAGGGGGCATGGTAGATAAATGTGAGGGCTTAACCTAGAATGTGAAACAAGTCGGCCAGGTGCAGTGGCTCACGCCTGTAATCCCAGCACTCTGGGAGGCCGAGGGGGACGGATCACGAGGTCAGGAGTTCAAGACCAGCCTGACCAACATGGTGAAACCCCGTCTCTACTAAAAATACAAAAAAATAAAATAAAAAAAAGCCGGGCTTGGTGGTGTTTGTCTGTAATCCCAGCTACTCAGGAGACTGAGGCAGAAGAATAGCTTGAACCCAGGAGGTGGATGTTGCAATGAGCCAAGATTGTGCCACTGCACTCCAGCCTAGGCGACAGAGTGAGACTCCGTCTAAAAAAATATATATATATGTATGAAACAAATCTTGATGGGTCAAAGAAGGCAACGAAACGTCCTGTGATATGTTATTGGATGAGAAGGGACTGGGGACAGGTGCTGTGATTCAGAGATGACTGGGTTCGGGGTACAAGGGAGGGTTTGGTGTGGGATTGCCAGGTAGGCTTGACTGGGCTGTTGGTGGAAATCAGCCTAGTCTGGCCCACATTTGACTTGAGGTTATGCCCTCTAGAGCATGACCTTCCTCTTGATGTTGCTGCTAATCTTCTTCTACATTTTTGCTGTGACTGGTGTCTACTTCTTCTCAGACTACACCCGTTCACCTCGTCAGGACCTGGTGTACCATGTGTTCTTCTCGTAAGCAGAGCTGGGGGACAGCGGGGTGAGGGGAGAGAAGTTAGCTAAGAGACCGGGAAGCTTGTCCAAAGTATAGTAATATAAATACAGTCTATTCCAAGAAACAAATAGAACACAATAGGGAGAGGGAAAGAGAAAGCAAAAGAATAGTGAGTGGTTTTAGCTCTGATCTTGAGAGTGGGGCAGCTAGTTCCATGTTTATTCTGGGTTTGGAAATTCAAACCACACTGTCATCAGGCATCTTTAAATAGCAGTACACTCCAGTGGTTAAGCTTGGTTTCTGTGAGTCAGTTACCTCTTTTGAAAAATGGGGGCCAGGCGCGGTGGCTCACCCCTGAAATCCCAGGACTTTTGGAGGCTGAGGCAGGTGGATCATGAGGTCAAGAGATTGAGACCATCCTAGTCAACGTGGTGAAACCCTGTGTCTACTAAAAACACAAAAATTAGCCAGGCGTTGTGGTGGGTGCCTGTAGTCCCAGCTACTCTGGAGGCTGAGGCAGGAGAATTGCTTGAATCTGGGAGGCAGAGATTGCAGTGAGCCGAGATCGTGCCACTGCACTCCAGCCTGGCGACAGAGTGAGACTCCATC